ACCCTTCATCAGAAAATCAGATTTTCTGATGAAGGGTCTAGGCCCGAAACGTCGGCCTTCCTGCTCCTGTGATGCTGCTTGGCCTGCTGTGTTCATCCAGCTCTGCACCTTGTTGTCTCACAAAGTTTAAGAATACAGGCCCTCTGGTTTACGTCAAAGATGGAGAGATGTTTATTCAGCCAGTGGGTTTGGTTGCAAATATTTCGTCACCCTACTAGGTATTATCGTCAGTGTGCCTCCGGTGAAGCGTCAGTGTTCTGTCCCGCTTATTCTTTATATGGCTCAGTTTTTTGAGGTGTGGATGAAGAATGCATGACAGTAATCTTCAATAGAGCCCAATACATCAAGAAAGCTAATGCACTACTAGCAGATACTGACACTTACCCACAGATGGCGATAGATTCAACACCACAGTGAGGGAACCAGATTACAACAACCCTGAAGAAATTGCACAACTCAGGAGACATCATCAGGACAGACTACCAAAAAATGAAGCCAGAGGGTTCGAACACATCCTGTTTAATGGACGCCCCATGGTACACAAACTGGGGGTCCCCCTCAGACCCATTGTCTCCCTACCAGGCACATCAACATATTGACTGGCCAAAGAACTACAACAGAAATTGAAATATTTAGTGGACAACACTACCCTCTCCATCCACTCATCCCAAGAATTCCTCAACATGATCAAGGACACCAGGATAGAAGAGGATGAGATGATGATATCCTTTGACGTAACAGCACTACTTACATCCATAAACATTGACCTAGCCAAAGAGATAATTGCCACACTACAGGACAAATCAAGTAGGCAGGCTCTCCAGGACACCAACAACATCAATAAGGACACCACCATGAAACTACTACCTCTGTGCCTCACAACCCACTTCACCTTCAACGATGGCATATACAAACAAATCAACAGAACACCAATAGGTTCCCCAATGTCAGGACTGATTACAGAAGCAGTAGTGCAAACGTTAGAACAGACAGCAGTCCCCACTACACAACCCAAACTTTGGGTCCGATATGTAGATGACATCTTTGTGATTGTTAAACACATAAAACTAGAAAAAACCCACTGGGATAAAATTCACAAAAGAGGAGGAGAACAACAACCAACTACCCTTCCTGGACGTACTGGTAGAACGCAAAAACAACAGGGAACTCCAGACCAGCATATATAGAAAGACCACACATACGGCCCGGATGCTCAATTACAGTAGCAACCACCCCAATGCCCACAAATGGAACTGCATCAGGATGCTATTTAAATTAGCCACAACACATTGCAGCAAACCAGAACTACGCAAATCAGAACAGGAGGACCTATACAGAGTCTTTGAAAGGAATGGATACCCAAAAAGCACAATCCGCTGTTACTTCTGAGACAGACCATGCACCAGGAAGACACAACACAACCAGACTCACTACTCACCCTATTGTACATCAAGGACATTTCAGAGATGATCTCAAGCGTACTCAGACCTCTAGGTGTCAGGGTAGCCCACAAACCAACAACCACCCTACGACAGCTACTGACAAATGTAAAGGATCCCATACTCAAAACCAGCAAAACTGGTGTAATATACAAAATACAATGCAAGGACTGTGAGAAACACTACATAGGCTAAACTGAAAGAAAACTGACAATACAGATACACGAACACCATCTAGCCACCAAGAGACACGACCATTTCTCACTTCTCTCACTACACAAGACAACGAGGGTCAAGAATTGGACTGGGACAACACTTCCATAATTGCACAAGCCAAACAGAGACGTGCCAGGGAATTCCTGGAGGCCTGGTATTCCAACCAGAACTCGAACAAAGACATTAAATTAGACCCAGTGTACAAACCACTGACAAACAGAACTGGAAGTGATACCAAACACCCCAACAAACTGAGGCATATAAGTAACAAGATGGACAGAATACTGACGCTTCATCGGAGGCACACTGACAAAGTTATCTAGCAGGGTGAGAAAACATTTGCAATCAAATCCACCAGCTCGGCGAGCATGTCTACAATCTCACCCACGACCCGAGATACAAATCTTCTTGAAAACTTTAAAGATGTTTACTCACCCTAAAAATGATTACTTTGTAGATTTTTTCCTTTCAATAACATAGTGGAGCCTATGTCTTTACATTTATCTAAAGCTGAGTTCGATAGAGTTTTGATAGTCAAGGGATTCAAGAGCTTTGGGGTGCAGACAGGACAATGGAGCATACCTCAAACAAATCAATCACGATCTTACTGAATGGTGAAGAAGCAGGTTCAAAGGGCCAAATTGCCTACTTACGCTCCTGTCTTTCTATAGTCTTGCAGGTAGAATTGTACCAGAAGGAGCTTTTTCTTCTTCTCTCCCTGCCCAAAATTAAGTTCAATCTTCAGCATCACAGCCTCGAACATGAGAAGGGAGGGGTTAGGTCCTGAATCCACCCCGACCACTATAGGAACCAAGCACCATGCTGTTGGTACCAAATGTGATCCAGACCAGCTGTCCAGATAACTGAGCTAACAGAATCAAAGAATCCAAATTACTCCAACAATATACATTATTACATGCATGTTGTAGCTTGGCAATGGATGGTGATGGTAGAGGCTGCAATTCTTTCCATCATATGGCTGACCAGGAGTTCCTTCTGTTCCTACTGCCTGCCACCCACGTGCATTGGAAGGATTTACAAGCCAATATTCAACTTTTGGCCATGTTCATGCATCTTCCTTGCTCATTAAGTTCTGGAGTAGGACTGAACCTGGAGTTTTTACCTACAAAGCAGTGACACTACCCACAGTGCCACAAGATCTCCTAGAAGGGACTTAGAAGATTAAATTATGATGCCAGGTTGCATAAATTTGCATTGTATTCTCTTAAGTGTAAAAGATCCGAAGGTGGACTGATCAATTTGTCTAAAGTGTTAAATGTTAAAATGGTAGATACTGAAAACTACTTCCACTTGCGGGGCAGTTAAGCACACAGAAACATAACCTTAAAGTTAGTGTCAAGCCAGTTGGGAAAGATGTTGGGAAACATTTGATCATACATAGCTTGTAGAAATTTCAAGTTTTCTTCCCCAGTAGGCTACAGGTTCTGGGGAAATTAAAACTCAAGACTGAAATCGATAGATTATTGCTTGTTTAGGAGTACTATGGGGTGTGAAACTAAGTAGCTAAATGGGGCTGTGATCCAAATCAGCCACATTCACGCTGAATGGGCTAGAGGGTTGAAATGGTCTACCTCTATCCTTCGGTCAGTTCAAACTCAAAGTGAATTGAGTCAAATTTTGTAAGAAAGCAACATCATTCCTTTCATTAAAATATCAATAATAAAAGTCCTGTATTATTCTACACGTTGTCTTTTATTAGCTGACTCTTTATTGACAATCTTGATGAAAATCTAAGTTACTGTTTCTAATTCCAAAAATTATTAAACAATGTGTCACAAACCACACTTCTTCCAGTTGACCTACATGATATGTCAACTGATTGACTGATACAGAACTTTAAAATGTTCCATTTCCTGATGTAGACCTGCATGTGGGTTTGTGCTGTCTGTCTTGAATGCATAAATTTTTCTTCCAAGATATAACGGTTCCTCTAATGAGTGTGTTCATATTGTCATCAGTAAATCTTCCAAATTATTTAAAATTTATTGCCCTCAAAGTACTTATTTTGTTTTTAAGCTGTATTTCTAATTTTGAGACTGTAACATAACAAATTGCATCTCACTTTTTTGGACAACTTAATAGCAAGTTCACCAGAACTGTCCATTGTATGTGTTGAGCTCTTCATGATCAGACTAATGGAAAACGAGCAAGAGTTTCAGTAAAATCTAATGACAGTTTAATTTAAGTATATAACCTTAAAATACATCTTTCTCCATCATTCCTGTTTGTTTAAAATTCCCTAAATTTTTTGATTGAGTCTGTTGGTCTTGTGTCCTAAGTGCCCCATTGCCCCTATTATCAGCCCACATTTCCAGCAATTTGATGTGCAACACATTTGAATTTGAAGGGTGAGGAAAACATCCTGGCTAACTTTCAGATGCCTGATTCAGCCAACTGTTGGCCGTTAACACTTTGTCTCTTTATGTTTTACAAAGTTAGGCTTCTGCCAGCATTGACATGTTGCATTTAATTTCTGCTTCCAGACTAATGATATTGTTAGCAAAGCATATATCTTTTTACATCGTGTGAACAGTCATAACAGGTGTAATATGGTTGGCTTATGACCAAATTTTAATTCTGCACTAGGTTTCCTTGTATTTTGTCTTGGTAACAATACAATAAAAAGTCACAATTAACATTTTTACATTCTTCTTTCTGTCTGTTTAAATGTCACCTGCTGATAATATCACCAATAGTGCAGACTATTTCCTGAACCAGTCAGTTAACCCTTGGTACTTCACTGATTGAACCAGTTCACTTCCACTTTACGTACATTTTTGTCTGGTTATTTGCCAAAGTAACGGAACAACTGATATGCTGCCACTTTGGAGAAGATAAAAAGCATTAACCACACACATATATTTCCCTCATTTCCAGACCCTCACCCACCTACAACCTAACGAATTGCATCTAGCTGTTGAGATAACAAGGTGTAGACCTGGATGAACACAGCAGGCCAAGCAGCATCAGAGGAGCAGGAAAGCTGACGTTTCGGGCCTAGACCCTTCTTCAGAAAAATTGTTTCTGGCCTATATGTGATTCCAGACCCACAGCAATATGACTGACACTTAGCTGCCCTCTGGGCATTTAGGGATGGGTGATAAATGTTGGCCTAACTGGTATTTACCTATCGCATTCCGTGAAGGAATTAAACAAAAAAACAGATCAGAGGCTGGAAGTTCTGCGGTGAGTAACTCACCTCCTGTCTCTCCAAAACCTGTCCCCAGTCTCATCAGGAGTGTTAAGAAATACTCATCACTTGTCTGAATGGATGCTGTTTCAATAATCTTTGACACCATCGAGGACAAAGAGCCCGCTCAATTTTCATCCCATCTGCCACGTTCAACATTCACTCCCTTTGCCACTGATGCACAATGACAGCAGTGTGTACCATCTACAAGATGGACTGTAGTAACTCACCATGGCTCCTTCGACAGCACTTTCCAAACCTGCAACCTCTACCAGCTAGAAGGACATTGGGAAACCTTCACCTGCAAACTTTCCTCTAAGTCACACATCTTCCTCACTTGGAACTGTTTCATCATTCCTTCCTCCCTTAATAATTGAATCCTTTTATGAACTAAGTATAATCTATAATTATTGATTAAACAACTAATTAGTGTGAGGAAGTCTAAAGTGTTATTGTTCAAATATTATCTTTCGTGTGAACTGCAAATGTTAAATGTTTTATCCATGGCTTACAGAGTTGAATCAAATGTCAAATGTTGTTATCTTGTCTTTAGCTTCAAATGTTCTATGGCTTACAGAGTTGCTATTGTTCTACTTATTAAATATTTTTTCTTTATCTTCTTATGGATCAATTGCGACCTCGAGAAAATGTTGCTGTCAGCAATAGTTGTGGGCAACCGTCACAGTCATTTTGTGTATGGGCAGCCTTAACAGCCATTTTGTGTACTCAGTTATGGGCAGCCCTAACAATTGTGAAACCTTTTTTTGCATTAATTTTATAGAAATTCTTCGTGACTTGCTAACATTGCTATTTATATGATTAAAACTTACGTTTAATCAGTTCCATTTTTAGACTTTGGAGATAAATAGTTATATTATAAGGACAGAGACCCATTTTGCATGTAGTTCAGCACTGTTTCACAAAATGCTTTTAACATTATATTTGCCAAATATGCAGAGTTTGAGAACCAAACAAAAATTGTTTTTTCAGTGGCCTGAATTACATGGCTCTTTGCAATTTTAACATGGAAATTTTTTGGGTACTTTTCAGTGCACAAAGTCATGTGCAGATGGCTGCAGCTGTAAAAAAATTCTACCTATTTCAGTTCTCTTCCATCTCTCCCTGTGGAATATGTAGAATTAGATGGAGACTTCAGCTCACTGTCCATTATCTTTGAGGATTGATATCTGGATTCTGTTCCAGAAGGTTAAAAGAGTTTCAGTTCCGCAGATATTTTCAGTTGGCTGCATTGTTTTCCAGTATTTCAGAACATTGGTTTGCCTCCCCTGTTCTCATCTATCTAACCATAGTCAGAATATCACTGCCAGTAACTTCTCTTCCCACTGTTGTGTCAAGGTTTTATGCAAATTTTCATTTGCATGGTGCTACTCTGCAGCATTATCCAATAGCACATTGTCAGTATGTTCACACATTCATCAACAACATCCAGTTTTTCATTACTATCCTCCTCTTAATTCATCCACTATAACCCAGTTATCAAATTGCTGGAAATGTGGGATTTTAAATACAAATTATTGAAGGGTGGAGCAGGCTCGAGAGACCAAATGGTTGTCTTCTGCTCCTATTTCATATGTTTCTACAATATGCTTCTATTGCAATTACATGTTTTCTCAAGTAAAAGACCACATGGTAAACATTTCTCCAAATGTGGTCTCACCAACACCCTGTACAATTGTAGCAAGTTGTCCATATGTTTATATTCCATTCCTCTTCTAACAACATTGTTCATTTGTATTTCTTATCACTTGCTGCACCAGTATACTAATGTACTCTGTTTCGCATACCAGAACTCCCAGATCCCTTAGCACCACAGAATTCAGAAATCTCTCTCCACTTAAATTATATATAGTTTGTCCACTTGTCCTGCCAAAGTGAACAAGATCACAATTTTCCACATTATACTTCATTTGTCAAATTTTTGCCTGTTCACCTAACTTGTCTATATCCCTTCACAGACTCCTCCAAGTTTAGACTGCCCACAATCGTGGTTTTATGTTTGACCCTGAGATGAGCTTCAAACCACATATCTGTGCCATCATGTCAGACAATCCATTTCTATATTCTATATTTGGAAGGACAAACGTGAAAGCAGAATACAGGGTTAACAGCAAGATTCTTGGCAGTGTGGAGGAGCAGAGGGATCTTGGGGTTCATGTCCACAGTTCCCTGAAAGCTGCCACCCAGTTTGATAGAGTTGTTAAGAAGGTGTATGGTGTGTTAGCTTTCATTAATAGAGGGATTGAGTTCGAGGGCCGTGAAGTTATGCTCCAGCTATACAAAACCCTGGTTCGGCCACATCTGGAGTATTGTGTCCAGTTCTGGTCGCTTCATTACAGGAAAGATGTGGAAGTGTTGGAAAAGGTGCAGAGGAGATTTGCCAGGATGTTGCCTGGAATGAGGGAAGGTCTTACGAGGAAAGGTTGAGAGAGCTAGGGCTTTTCTTTTTAGAACGACAAAGGATGAGAGGTGACTTGTTAGAGGTGTACAAAATGATCAGAGGTATAGATAGAGTGGACAGCCAGAGACTTTTTCCTAGGGTGGAGGTAGCTATTATGAGGGGATATAGTTTTAAAGTGAGTGGAGGTAGATATAGGGGAGACGTCAGAGGTTGGTTCGTTACTCAGAGAGTGGTAGGAGCATGGAATGCATTGCCGGAGAGGGTAGTGGAGTCGGCCTCATTAGGGGCATTTAAGCGGCTATTAGATAGGCATATGGATGATAACATAAGGTAGGGGTGGAGGTTAGATAGACCTTAGGTTTAGGGTAAAAGTTCGGCACAACATCATGGGCTGAAGGGCCTATACTGTGCTGTACTGTTCTATGTTTTATGTTCCATGTTCTATAACACCTTATAGACTGATCTGGTTTAAGAATGCAGCTCTCTACTACATACCCCAGGGCACCTGGTGATGGGCATAAAATGCTGGTGAAACCAATGATGTACACATCTCATGAGCAAATGTTAAAAAAAAGTTGAAACTTTGATTTTCTTTCCTTTTCTGGGTTGCAATGATGGCTTGGCAGACATCTTGCAGAATCACCAAAAGCTGAAAACAGGAAACTCAGGGAGGGGCCATTGCAACTTTCCACAGTGTTGCATCACTCTGCTGTCTAAACATCACAACTGTCACTACAATCCATGATCATAATCTCTAAATGAACTTCAAACTGTAAAAATAGATTGGGTCTCACAAAATCACAGATTTATGATTTTTTGTGCAGTTATGTTAATGTCTAGTAATGGGATCAACTATTCTTCTCCCACGACCTCCCTTTGCAGAGATCTTGCATCCATTCCATTCCTAAAGTCCTCCTGGGATGATGGTTCTGCACCATTTGGTGCCTCACCTCATACAATAGCTGGCAACAGAAAAGACAATGAACTTGTTCATCTCTCTGATCCACAGTGTTTCAATTGGTGCTGCAGTCAATTTTCTGACCTGACACAGCTTCTGTTAACACATGGCAACAGCCAAGTCTCCAGTTGGAAAGCAGCCTTCACTCTTGGTCTTCCTGAAATGGTGAAAAATTTAAAATACGAACAAAGTCAATTTTGAAAATAGTCTTCTACTTTCACATGTATGTTGAAGATTCATCTGGATGAGACTGTGCATCTGGTTTCTTCGTTTACATTTTGGATTGCAAAGTAGTCAAACGATTCATACAATGATGAGGCCAGCTGAAAAAGACCAAGGAGTTCTGTGTTAGTTGAATGAAGCTCTCCAAAAGTAATATCTGACTCACCACAGTCTTTTCCAATGTGTCACCGAGCAAAGAAGAAATGTTGGATTTACCCCCATTCCTAAAACACTGCTAAGGATTTTTCCAAATGAGGTGATGTCTGTTTTTACAGTTTTAAACTTGTGGTATCTCAAGTCTTTCTAAATGGGGATTGTAGTTTTCCTGAAACTTAGAGCATGACATGAACACTTTATGATGGTAAATGGCAATTCCAGATTGCAGAAGACATTGAATTGTTGAAATTGCATCATTAAAAATCAAGAATGGATGGATTGGGCATTGACCCCTTTCTCTTTCTTTTTCTCTGAGACAGTTTCAAATTCATGCAGTTCGTAATAATTATATTTTCTTCCTGTTGGATAGTCGAATGGATTCCAAATATAAAAGCAAAATACTGTAAGTGCTGAAATTCTGGATTGAAAGCAGAAGACGTTGGAAATACTCAGCAGGTCTGGCAACACCTGCGAGAAAGAAAAGCAGAGTAGAACCTTATGCTCTGGGAGTTGGCAAGTTTTGGAAGGCCATGTAATGAGGTGGGGTGGTGGTGTATCCGACACCATCACCTTCCCCCTTCGACTGAATTATGTTTGGGGGGGAATGTCTATAGTAAACCATCTCGCCCCACCAATACATTAGGCCCTTAAGGTGGTCGATTAAGGTCCACTTCATGGCCTCAGTTCACCATCACTGGAATCGACCCATCTGAAAGCAGTCCTGTTGCCATGATTTCTGAAGAAGGGTCCAGACCTGAAACGTCAGCTTTCCCGCTCCTCTGATGCTGCTTGGCCTGCTGTGTTCATCCAGCTCTACACCTTGTTATCTCAGATTCTCCAGCATCAGCAGTTCTTACTATCTCTGTTGCCATGCTACATGCCTGACAGGTCAACCTGTGCAGGCAACTAGTCCACCTGAGTTGTTGGGTCAGTACCTGATTGAGTGGCTGTACATGGAACAGGAGAGTGTCAGATTGAGATCCACCCCTATGGTCTTGCTATCGAGAACCCCTGCCCCACTTACCCCGTGACCTCTGTCCCCTCAAGCAATCATACCCATCAAGTCTGTACTGCCAAAATATGCTACTAACCACACTCGTCCCTCTACCTTGCACTAGGCCAATAGCCTTCAATGTTATTAGACTTCAAGTGCTCATTCAAGTACTTTTAAAAGATGTTAGGTTTCCGGCCTCAATTAATCTCTCAGATAATGCATTCCATATTCCCGTGGCCCTCTGGGTAAAAACATTTTCCTCAAAGCCCCTCTAAACCTCCTGCCTTTCACTTTAAAATAACATCCTCTTGTTATTGACCCTTCAATGAAGGGGAACAGCTACTTTCTATTCATCATGTCCTCATAACCTTATACACTCCTATCAGGTGCGACCCATCCCGTGGCCCACACACAAATCACTTCCCTTACTCTGTGGTCATAGAGTCATAGAGTTGTACAGCATGGAAGCAGACCTTTCGGCCCAACTGATCCATGCCAACCAGATATCCTAAATTAATCTAGGTCCATTTGACAGCATTTGGTCCGTGGCCATCTAAGCCCTTCCTATTCATGTATTCATCCAGATGCCTTTTAAATGTTGTAATTGTACCAGCCTCCATCACTTCCTCTGGCAGCTCGTTCCATGCACGCATCACCCTCTGTGTGAAAAAGTTGTCCTTTAGATCCCTTTTAAATCTTTCCCCTCTCACCTTAAACCTATGCTATTTACTTTTGGGACTCCCCTACCCTGGGAAAAAGACCTTAGCTATTGACCCTATCTATGTGCCTCATGATTTTAAAAACTTTCATAAAGGTCACTCCTCAGCCTCCAAAGCTCCAGGGAAAATAGCCCCAGCCCTCCTTATAGTTCAAACTCTCCAACCCTAGCAACATCCTTCTAAATCTTTTCTGCACCCTTTTAAGTTTAACAGCATCTTTCCTATAGCAGGGAGACCAGAATTGAATGCAGTATTCCAAAAGTGGCCTAACCAATATTCTGTACAGCTGCAACATGACCTGCCAACTTCTACACTCAGTGCTCCTCTGCAATCCTGGGTATCCTTTCAGCTTCAGCAGTCAGGGTCCCCTGCATGATGCAGCCAAATGCTTCTGAAGTGTCCAGCAGTTCTTGCTGGCAAAGCTTCTGCTTCCATCGGGCCTTAATTCCAAGCGAAAGCCCACCGGTGGTGTAGCTGTTTGTTTTGGCGGTCCCTGCCTTGAACAATCAGCTTGGGTATTTTAGGCAGCTCTTCAGCCAGCTGACAAAACCCTACCACCTCAGAAAGACCTTTTGTCAAAACCAGAAATAATCAGGAGGTGAAATGACACAGGGTGAAAAGAAATAAGAACTGTGATGAGGCAGAAACATGTCATCTCTTTCCGAACACCCCTCCCCATTTTCTCTCTTTTCCTCTGCATTGGCCCATCCTAACTATCTTCCTTATGCCCATCAGATAGCCGTTGTTTCTTATAGTTTGCCATCCATTCCTCTTATGGACCAACCTTTTGTTTCTTTTCATGTCCTATTCATATTATTACTATTTTTGGCCTTGCACAGCAATCTCTTTTGTCATTTAATTTGTCTCATCTTCCACCCCATCAGAAACCTTCTCTTTGGTACATTTTCCACTCTTTTCTATTTGTTCTACTTAAAACCTATTATTTTCTCCAGTCACCCACGCTTCTCAGTACCAAAACATGACTACAGAGTTTCAAAGCATAGTGTCCCTGAGGGGACCAATCATTTTCAATTGCTACATTAATGAATCACCTGGGTCCACCAGCAATACCTTCCAACCCATGACCTCTTGCACTTAGAAGGACAAGGCAGGTGGTGCCATGGCATTAGTAATCTGCAGATCCAGACCATTGCTCTGAAGACACAGGTTCAGATCCTATTTTGGCAATTGCTGGAATTTCAATCCAAGTAATTCAAATCTGGAGCGACAAGTTAGTTTAACGGTGACCGTGAAGTTATTGTCAGAACCCCACTTGCTTCACTCATGTCTTTTAGGGGAGGAAATTTTCGGTCCTTACCTGGTCTGGCTGACATGTGACTCACCTCTGTTCAAGGGTAGTTAGGGATGGGCAACAATTGCTGGCCTTGCTGCTGATATGAGGAAGTACATTTTTAAAAAGCCAAAGCAGTGGAACACATCAACCTGCAAATTCCCCACCAAGCCAAACACCATCCTGTGTTGGAACTACCTTGCTGTCACCGGGCAATTAGGGATGGACAATAAATACTACAGCAGCCAGTGAGGCCTGCATCGGCTAAGCAAATTTAAAAACAGTTCAGACAAAAGGCCACAACCTGAAATATTAACTCTTGTCCTTTCCAAGGTTCTGCTGCACCTGCTGGGCATTTCCAGCATTTTCTGTTTTTATTTTTAAAAATGCCATTTTCGTTTGGTAATAAGTTTCTTGTCATGGAGGACCAAAAAGTTATAAAGAACCACCAGATGCCAGCATATCAGAGGTTTGTTTTGTAATTATTGCTGGTTAACGAAAACTCCTAGATGTGTTTTTTGGAGGAAATGGGTGACTAAAAGGGGGATTGCCCAGATTGGTTACTGGTGGGAGAAGCACTTTACTATGGAGAAATTAAATGTACTGTACATAAATGATGCTGTTTGTAAAAAAAAAAAAAAAGATTCAGACATAATACAACATACCCAATGAGTTGAGCCTCTTGAAGATGAGTTTTCCTCATTCCCTTCATTCTCCTGATTTTCTTCAATAATCTCTTCTCTTGCAGCATCAAACAGGACTTAAAAAAGGTACAAATGGTATTTAATTTGTCATGCCACATTAATACACAAAATAGTCAGCAATTTAAATAGCACAAGGCCTAATTATTCACCATTAACAACATAACAAATAGGAGCAATAGTAGAACATGCCATCCATTGAGTCTACTGCACCATTCATAATGATCATTACTGATCTTTATCCTCAACTCCACATTTCTGCCCATTCAATGTATCCCTTGATGCCGTGAGAAACTAAATGTTTGTCTATCCCAGCCTTAAATATATTCAATGAACAATCATCCACAAGTCTCTTGGGTAGAGAATTCTGAAGGGTTACAACCCTTTGAGTGAAGAAATTTTTCATCATCTTGGCCCAAAATGGCAAACCCTTTATCCTATAACTGTGCTCCCATGTTCAAGATTCCCCCACCATTTCAACCTCTTGATATGTGTCCCATCAATCCAGTTCAGAATCTTGTAAATATTGATTAAATCACTTTTTATTCTTATAACTTCCAGAGAATCAAAGTCCAATTTACTCAGTCTCTCATCAGAAAATAACTGCCTCATCCAAGGAATCAATCTAGTGAACCTTCACCATACTCTCTAATAAGAAGAACATAATAACATAAGAACTAGGAGTACGCCATCCGGCCCCTCGAACCTGCCCCGCCATTCAATAAGATCGCGGCTGATCTTTTAGAGACTCATCTCCACTTACCCGTCCGCACACCATAACCCTTAATTCCTTTACTGTTCAAAAATTTATCTAGCCTTGCCTTAAACACATTCAGCAAGGTAGCTTCAACCGCTTCACTGGACAGGGAATTCCACAGATTCACAACCCTTTGGGTGAAGAAGTTCCTCCTGACCTCAGTCCTACATCTGCTTCCCTTTATTTTGAGGCTATGCCCCCTAATCCTAGTTTCACCTGCTAGTAGAAACAACCTCCCTGACTCACCTTTATCTATTGCCTTTATAATCTTATATGTTTCTACAAGATCTCCCCTCATTCTTCTGAATTCCAATGAGTATAATCCTAGCCTACTCAGTCTCTCCTCATAATCCAACCCTCTCAACTCTGGAATCAACCGAGTGAATCTGCTCTGCACCCCGTCCAGTGCTAGTATATCCCTTCTCCAGTAAGGAGACCAAATCTGCACACAGTACTCCAGGTGTGGCCTCACCAGGACCCTTTACAGCTGCAGCATAGCCTCCCTGTTTTTAAACTGCATCCCTTTAGCAATGGCAGACAAAATTCCATTTGCCTTTTTAATTACCTGCTGCACCTGCAATCCTACTTTTAGCGATTCATGCACAAGGACACCCAAGTCCCTCTGCACAGCAGCGTGCTGCAAGTTTTTACCATTTAAAACATAGTCCATTTTGCTGTTATTCCTACCAAAATGGATGACCTCACACTTATCAACATTGTACCCCATCTGCCAGACCTTTGCCAACTCACTTAGACTATCTATATTCCTCTGTAGACTTTCAGTGTCTTCTGCACATTTTGCTCTACCACTCACCTTAGTGTCATCTGCAAATTTTGACACACCACACTTAGTCCCCAACTCCAAATCATCTATGTAAATCAAGTAAATCATTTAATGCAAGTATATCCTTTCTTAAATATGGAAGCCAAAATTGTGCACAGAGCTCTGGGAGTAGTCTCAAAGTCCTGTATAGTTGTGGCAAGACTTTGTTATTCCTGCTCTCCAAAACCTTTCAATAAAGAACAATATGCCATTTGCCTTCCCAACTGCTTGTTGTACCCGTATGTTAAATTTTGATGTTTCTTGTACAAGTACAAGCAAGTTTCTTTAAACATTAGCATTTACATGTTTCTTGCCTTTTAAAAAAATTCTGCTTTTCTTTTCTTACAACTGAAGTGAATAATTTCACTGTCTCTCACATAATACTCTATCTGCTATCTTATTTCCCACTCACTGTGTGCTTGCAGCTTGCATTCCCACTAGCTTTACATTATCATGAAACTTAGAAACATGCTCTCTTCCTATTCATCTAAATCTTCAATATTGATTGCAAATATCTGAGGCCCTAATACTTTTCCTTGTGTCTTTCCATCAGACACAACCTACAAACTTGAAGATTGCCCATATATCATTACTATTTGCTTCTTATTCATGAATCAATGCTCTATCTATGCTCATATATTACCACAAAAGTTTTGTGTGGCACCTTATTTGAATGTCTTTTGGAAATCCTGATATAATACATCTACGGGTTCAAAAATCTGTAATAAAATTGACAAAACAATTTTCCTTTTGCCACTGGATGTGCGCTTTATGTGATCATACCGTGATTTTTGAAGGGTATTGTTAAGATTTCCTTAATAATAGTTTTCAACATTTCCTAACAGCTAAGGTCAGGTCAACTACCCTGTATTTCTGTTTCCTCTGTCAGTCCTTTCTTGAATTGTGATGTTACATTTGAAAATTTCAAATTTGCTGAGACTGTTCCATAATATAGGGAATTTTGGGAAATATTAACCAGCATATCCACTATCAATACAACATTTACTTTTAGAACTTGAGGATATAGGCCATCAGACCCTTGGGCCATGTTAAACTTTAATCCCTCAGGTTCCTCCAATATTTTCTCTTTGCTAATAATAAGCATCTTAAATTTTTTTGTGCATATTAGTCATTTAAGTCGCCCTCTATTCTTTATATGTAATTTGTGTCTTCTACTTTGAAGAAGACATTAAACCACCCAAGCCCTGTAGATCCGTACACTTAAAGAGATTGGTGGCAGCAAACCAACCACATAATGAGATAGAGGCTCTGTTTAACTGCAACATAGAACAGAACTAATTAGCCAGGAACATGATGTGTAAATGTTCCGGGTGGCCACATTGACAACTACACTGGATAGTCAGGTTTTGTGGAACAGGGATAAATGAAGAAAAGTCCGTAGACACCCAGCAAGTCTGGCAGTATATTTGTGGAGAGAAAAAGTTAAATTTTGAGTTTAATATTTTTCTTTTAATAAATGATTATCAGTCACATACCTGGTACTGCTGTTGTATTTCTTGCATTTCTCTGAATTTTCTGTTGTTTCTTGTAAAATAAAACTACAGGAACCAATATCAACAACAATACCAACGCTCCTACAATAGCTCCCAATTCGGGTGTATTTTTGTGTGCTATAAAATTGAAAAAAGAAATAATGCTTTATTGGAAGTAGAGACAAGTTTCAAATCTGAACTAAATGCCCAGATTGACATTTTCTTCAGTAGAATGATTAATTGAGAGAGTTGAGATTTCCACAACTTTAACACAGAAGGAATTGTATTTGTTTTGTCAAATTATCCCTGAACTTGCAGATCAGCAATATAGGATTTTCCAAGCTATCCAACCTATTTTAAAATTATCAATTTAAATGCAAGCATGCACACTATTGGCCGCACCTATAAGAAAAACATTTTTGTAAAAATTACTTGCCATTTCGGCCATCTTTTATTTATTGTGATAGTTCAAGAACAAGTGTATATTTTTTTAAAAACTGAACTGTCCTAAGAATTACAATTAACGTTAATACATTCTTGATCATTCTCCATTTGTGATGACTTAAAAATATTAATTGTTATTTAAGTGTGAATATTGATATTAGAATCATAGAGTTATAGAGAACAGAAACAGACCCTTTTGTCCAACCAGTCCATGCTAAACATAATCCCAAACTAAACTAGTCCCACCTGCCTACGCTTGGCCAATATCCCTCCCTCCAAAAATTTCTTATTCATGTATTTATCCAAATGTCTTGTAAACATTGTAACTGTAGCCGCATCCACCACTTCCTCTGGAAGTTCATTCCACACAAGAAACACTGTGTCTGTGTAAAAAGGTTGCCCCTCCTGTCCTTTTTAAATCTTTCTCCTCTCACCTTAAAATATGTCCCCTAGTCTTGAAATCCCCCAGTCTAGGGAAAAGACACCTGCCATTTGCCTTATGTATACCCATCATGATTTTCTAAACCTCTATAAGGTCACCTCTCAATCTCTTATGCTCCAATGAAAAATGTCCCAGCCTATCCAGCCTCTCCTTACAACTCAAACCTTCCATTCCCAGCAACGTCCTGGAAAAACTTTTCTGAACCATTTCCAGCTTAATAATATCCTTCCCCGAACTGGACAGAATACTCCAGAAGAGGCTTCATCAATGTCCTGTACAATCTCAACATGACATCCCAACTCGTATATTCAAAGATCTGAGCAATTAATGCAAGCATTCTAAATGTCTTCTTAACTATCCTATCTTAACAATCCTAAACAAACTTCAAAGAATTATGCAGCTGAACGCCTAGGGCTCTCTGTTTTATAATACCGTACAAGGCCCTACTTTTAATAGTATAAGTCCTGGTCTTATTTTTTGACCAAAATGCAATATCTCGCATTTATCCAAATTAAACTCCATCTGCCACTCCTCAGCAAATTGATCCAATTGATCAAGATCTCTTTGTAATCTTAGGACACCTTCTTCACTGTCCACTATATAAACAATTTTGGTGTCATCCGCAAATTATTGGAGAAACTACCATTAGAGTTTGGAGCTTAACAGTGTAAATGAACTGAGCTAATATACAGGTCTAGCATAAGCGCCCATGGTTAATCTTGGTAGTTGTGCTGAAGGCAATTTAGGCCTATAATATATTAAGCTCTATGAGTGGTTCCATCATTGGATGTAATACGATTATATTTGGTAAATTATATTCACTGAGATGTTATATCAGGATAACTGTTTTGCTTTTCCCTTATTATGCATATTATAAATTCCAGCTCTTTAGCTCTCAATATTCTGTATGGATAAAACAGTTCAATTATAAGGGCAGGTGGTCTAAACTAAGGTTGTATTTTGCTGGAGTGTCCAAGGTGAGGTGGTGATTGAATTGCAGTGTTTCAGATAATTAAATAAGTTAATAAGGTAGTTGGAGAGAAATGACTTCCTCTGGTGGAGAGTTTGACAGTTTGCGTGGCCCAGAATTGGCTTCGTTTGTAAATATTTCATTAGCTATATGAGTGATTACTGTTGGTCGTTAAAAAAGTGAAAAAGAAAACATAAAGAAAATGTCTCAGTGATTTTGGTGATAAGAAAGTCACTCAGTTGCACATAATAGCACTTCGGAATATAAGAGTTCTTTTTTCCACTGGTGGAGAGTACAGCATACGTGAGTACAATCTTTATGCAAGATGGGGCCTTTGTAATGTAGTAGTGTAATGGTAGTGGTGTATTGGTAGTATCTCTGCCTCTGGACCAGAAGGATTGGATTCAAGTCCTCCCTGCGCCAGAGGTAATAATCTCTGAACAGGCTGATTAGGAAAATATCTACACTCTGAGAGCAAACCTACTCAGTGCTGATATGAGCAGGCACTTACTCATGCAGTAAGTAGTGAAAATCTGAACAACTCCCCAAAAGTGTCAGGAGAATGATTTTCACTTCAATGAGGTAAAGGTTGCAAACCAAGGCTGGTAAATGGAATTTCCATATAGGTCTAAAGGGGTAATCTGAACAATTAACCCTCTCTAAAATGGCTTCAATGTTTTAAATCCAGGAAATTAAAATTGCGATGATATATTTATAATTAAAACGAACAAGAAGATAGCTGGGGCCCCACATTGTTAATCACATAGAGTGTCTAGGACCAAGAGCACAGGTTTGGGATCAACTTTAGCTTAAAAACATAGGCAAATATACAGCCTCAAAACAATACCAACTTATTTGATGTTGGACCTTCTCTTTGTTGATTAACCACTCTAAAATTACAATTGATTTCTTTAGTTGTTAGAATAGCTTGTTCCTTAAAGTTCACTGCTCAGTCTTGAGAGTAAAGGGGAGAGCTTCCAGGGAGGAGTGAGCATAGGATTAAGGTTAACAGAGTACGACAGGAAATGCCACAAAGTTAGAAAGATTTGGAAGGGAATGTAAGGAGGAGAAAATGGATGTGAAATTTAGGTAGAAGATGAGGAAGCATAGCGAGTTCTCTGTAGCCAACATTGTTCTTAGACTACAAGTCATTGCACAATGTTAGAATGGGGATGGAGTGGACATTTTAAGCACTCGAACAAAAAACATCAGAGAAAAATAGACATATTGTGAGATGTTCCTCAGATAATGAAGCAGTTTGTGCAACATTTCAGGTTTTTTATTCATTCATGGGATGTGTGCTTGGCTGACTGGGCTAGCATTTGTTATCTATCCCAAGTTGCTCTTGAGAAGGTAATGGTGAGCTGCCTTTTTCAACCATTGCTATTCAGTGCACAGTGCAGATAGGGTGGGAGTTCGAGAATTTTGACCAAGTGAAGGAATAGTGGTATGTTTCCAAGTGAGCATCATGAGTGCTTTTGAAAGGAACTTATGGTTTTCACTTATATCTGCTGTTCTTATTGTTCTGGATAGCAGTGGTTGTGGGTTTAGCAGGTGCTATCTAAGGAGCCGTAGTGAATTCTTGCAATGCATCTTGTGGATGGTACACACTGCTGTTACTGAGCTTTGATGGTGGAGAAAAATGAGCATTTGTGGATGTGGTGCCAATCAAATGGGCCACTTTATCCTGGGTGGTGTTAAGCATCTTGAGTGGTATTTAAGCTGAACTCATCCAGGCACGTTGATACTGGTCAGATTGATAAGTGACAAGTAGCAGTCTTGTCACAGAAGTGCGAGGTAATGAACATCTCCAATAAAAAAGTGCCCTTGTCAGTCCATGGGATCACCATCACTGAATGTCAATATCAATATGCTGGGATCACACTGGACCAGAAACTTAAGTGCACCAGCTATAAAAATACTGCAGGTACAAGAGCTGATCAAACGCTAGGAATTCTGCAGTGCGTGACTCACTTATTAACTCCACAAAAACTTTCCAGTATCCACAAAGCACAAGTCAAGAGTGTGGTGGAATACCGGCCACTTTAAGGGAGGCTGCTTGAACAATCCTGAAGAAGTTCAGCAGCATCCAAAGCTTGGCATACCATTCATCACCTGAAATATCCACTCTCTCCATTATCTTCCTACAGCAGCCACGGTGGCTCTACTGAATGCCCAGCAACAGCTCAACAAGTCTTGTTCAACGTCATCCTATAAATCCATAATCGCTAGCACTTGGAAGGAAAAGGGCAGCAATTTCTTGGGAAGTTGTACACATTCCTAACTTGGAAATCTATCACTGTTCCTTCACTGTTGTTGAGCCAAAATCCTGCAACACCCTCACTAATAGCTTCATGAGTGAACTAACTCCAGATGGGCTGCAGTGGATCAAGAAGACAAATCACTACTGTCTGCTCAAGGGCAATTAGGAGTGAATATAAGAATATACAGATTAGGATCAAGAGTAGGCCATTTGGCCCCTCAAATTTGCTTTGCCATTCAACAAGATAATGGCTGATCTAATTGTAATCTCAACTCCAATGTTCTCACCTGTCTCTATGAACCTTTCATCTTCTAGTTTTTCAAAATTCTATCCTCTTAAACCTTAAAAAAAATTCAAAGACTCTGTTTCCATGCCTTTTGCAGAAGAAAGTTGCAGCCTATTAGTCTCCACACTACAACGTGCACTCCGAGATGTAGAGAAATATCTTCTCAGTTTAATGTAAACCAAAATGAGAACAACACGTTTCAAAATAGTAATGGTTGGTATCAAAGTTGTTTTTAGGTGAAATTGACTGCATTTTGGTGATGCAGTTAGAAAAATGAGTCAGTATTGTAAGGGTAGTAGGAAAAAGTGGTGGTGAAGGACATTTTATGAAGACACGCATCTGTAATTTTCAATATCTGTAGCCTTGATGCACAACATAGTGAACCACAGAGCTCCCCGGTACTCACTGCAGTGACCTACACAACAGTTCTCTCACGGAATCAAAGAACCATAGAGGCCTTTCAGCTCATTGAGTCTGTACTGCCAAAAGTATAATACCACCTACACTAGCCCCACTCTCCTGTACTAAGCCCATAACCTTTACTGTTATGACACTTCAAGTGTTCATCCAAGTACTTGTTTAAAGATTGTGAGGTTTCCTGCCTAACTTTCTTGCCAGGCAATGCATTCCAGACCCCTTCACCCTCTGCATGAAAAGGTTTTTCATCCAATCCCCTCTAAACCTCCTGCCTTTCACTTTAATATTATGCCCCCTTGTTATTTACCCGTGGACT